AAGCAGGTGGTTCCTTTTTAAAGACTTTCTGTGGTTTAACGCTACTTTCTTAGATTAGGAGGTAGGAAAACAAAAGACAAGAAGATAAAGAAGAGCCACAGAACTGTGCCCAGCTGCTTTCCTAGGAGAATTACATGAGGTCCTCACTGAGTAAAATAATCATGAAATGTGGGCAGATGGTTGGAATGTCAATAACAGAAGGCAGTCTTCATTAAATTCAAAGGGGAAAGATTCAAGATGACATCAAACTAGATTGGGCTGAAAAAGGATGGGATAAGCAGAACTTCCTAATGTTTGTTAACACATGACACAGAGTTGAGGGGGGGAGAGTTGGGGAAGGACTGAGGAATCCTAAGAAGTCAATAAGATAAAGATGTCCACGCACAGTGATGCTCACCAGGAGAGGTGTGAAAGAGCTAGAAAAGCCTTCCAGAGCTAATAGCCAGACCTAGCCAGGACAAACTCTAAGAAGGAGCCAAGAGTTGGTGGCTCACACCTTTGAACTTAGCTACTCAGGAGGATGAGACCTGAAAATCACAATGTGAAGCCAGTTGGGGCAGACAAATTGGAACAATGCTTGTCTCCAATGAACCAGCAAAAAGCTGAAAATAGAGTTATGACTCAAGTAGTAGAATGTCAGCCTTGAACACACACACATACAAAACAGCCAAGTGAGAGGGTGAGTTCAAGCCCCAGGACCGGCATGCATATGCATACACGTGCTCACACACACACACACACACACACACACACACACACACACATTCACACACACCTTGAAGAAGGCACTATATTGTACAATGGCCACACTGACCAAGGCAATCTAGACATTCAATGCAATTCCCATCAAAGCCCAAAGGTCTTTCACAGAAATAGAAAAATCAATCTAAAATTTCATATGAAATCATAAAAGACCTCAAGAAGCAAAAGTAATCCTAAGCAAAAAGCAAAGCTAGAGGTATCATAATACTGAACTTCAAATTATACTACAGAGCTATAGTGTCAAAAACATCATGGTACCAGCCCAAAACAGAAAAACAAAAAACAACAAAACAGAACAGAAGACCCAGAAATAAAACCACACAGCCCCAGCCAACTAATTTTTGACAAGCAAGTGAAAAAAAATCCCACTGGAGATAAGATAGTCTCTTTAACAAGTAGTCCTGGCAAAATGTGGCAATCTGCACCTAAGAGGCTGAAAATTAATTCTAATCCTGCCCCTGCCCCGTACAAAAATCAACTCCAATGTATCAATGATCAAATGTAGCACCTGAAATTTAAAACAACAAAATAATGTAAGGAAAAAAAATAATGTAAGGAAACACGGTCAATTATTTTATAAAGAAAACTCCAGTTGCCCAGAAAATAAGAATAAGATTTGACAAGTAGAACAGCCTCAAATTAAAAAGCTTCTGCACAGCCAAAGAAACAATTATCAGAACCAAGAGACAATAATTCATAGAACAGGAGAAAATACCTGCCAGCTATTCAACAGGTGAAGAATTCACATAGAGCTCAAAAAATTAAACAAAAATAGAACAGCTAACCCAATTAATAAGTGGAAAAAATTGAACAGTTCTCAGAGGAAATACAGATGACTACTCAATCCATACAGTAATATTTAGCTTCCTAGATATAACATCTGTTGCCATTTAACTCCCTAAGTCCTTCATAGAAACAAAAACCAGGAAACAGAAGTGCAGGAAGGCTTAGTAGTCTGCCCAGAAGTTCAACCTCTGTCTTCGGAATCCAGCCATTCTCACAATGAATCACCATGGGGCTGCTTTACATGCTTAATAATTATTGTGGAATTAGAGTAGGACTCATGCTGGTGACTCACACCTGTAATCCTAAATACTCAGGTAGCTGAGGTCTAAGGATTGTAGTTGGAAGCCAGGCTGGTAGCAAAGCCCATGAAACTCTTCTCTCCAATTAACCACCAAAAAGCCAGAAGTAGAGCTATGGCTCAAGTGGTAGAGCACTAGCCTCGAGCGAAAACCTCAGGAATAATACCCAAGTCCTGAGTTCAAACCCTAGTACCAGTACACACAAAAAGAAAAAAGAAAAAATTCTAATTACATGACATGTGTGTATGTATGTATGTGTATATATATATATATATATATATATATATAAAACTGTTTAATACATAGTTCTATGTAGTTACATATAATACATAATATGGGCAGACATTAGTTATCAGTTAACAGGTATCCAGGCTAATTAAATGTAATATTAAATCACATTGCAAATTTAATCTGGTTAACTGTTAAAACAACAGAAAGACCCACACCCCCTTAGCAAAGATGGACTGTCCCCCCCCCCCAAAAAAAATACTGTATACTGTTAGAGAATGAAGATAGAGATGAAAACGGTCTGACCTCTGAGATTATTTTCTAGGGTATCCAAGGGATCCAAGATCACACTGTGAGAATTGTTTTGGCCTCAAGCCTGGGCTGGATTTTCTCCGATCAGACTGCAGTGCATTCGGTGAATGACCCTCCCCAGGTGACTCTGAGTTCTCTTTACTTTCCTTAATTCCCATTGACTTTGTTAAGAATTTCATCAAGGAAGCCCTGGTCCAGAAATAACACTGCTGCCAGTGTCCTCCTTGGGGCTGGTGTTGTAGCTCCTGTCTGGGATCCTTCTCCAGGGCACCTGTCACAGATTCACTGAAATGTCACCTACCCAGCCCCAGGCAGGACCTGTTACTACCCAATGGAGAGAGCTTTGCTTCTACCTCAGCTTCATTTTACTGCAATGCCCTGGTTCCTTAGGAGTTTGTAAGGCATTTGCCTCCTCTGTTGTCATTCCCCGGCCTGGTAATAGCATCTGCCCTGCAGTGACTGGTCAGCTCAAAGACTCCCTTCTTTAAGGGTAGCTCCAGTTCTTTCAAAGACAACTTATTTTTCTGAGCTCTGGATTTGGAAACAATAACTTTATAAGCTTTCATTCTTTCTTCCTGGCACCTGGCACTTGTTTGAGCTGCTATATTTGCTTTTTTAATTACTCTAGGGTAATAAATTAACACTGTCTGATGGGACTGTGGATGCTATTTTCTTTGTACTTCTCTGCTATAGATGATCTCTTTCTGTGTGTGTCTCTGTCTCTTTTCCTCTCCCTCTGTCTCTTTCTCAGCACTACTAGAATTTGAGTGCAGGTCTTCACAATTCCTCAGGAGATGTTTACCTCTGAGCCACACCTCCAGCCCTTCTTTTGCACTGTTTGCTCTTTTTTTGAGGTAAGATCTTGCCCTGCCTGAACATATACCTGAGCTGTGATCTGTCTATTCTGTAGTAGCAAGGATGACAGGTGCATACCACCATGTTCATATCCATCTCTGTTGAAATGTAGTCTCACAAAGTTTTCTTCCCTAACTGACATGGAACCAAAATCTTCTTGGTCCCAAGTCTCCCACAGAACTAGGATTATAGGCATGAGGTACGGACACCCAGGTTCATTACATCCTTATAGATACAACATTCAAGTGTTTCTCTATAGATTAATCGCTAATAATAATAACAGGTTGATGTACATGACACACAGTTTTGGGTTTTACACATGCATTATGCTGTCAATTATCTGTGCTACTCACAGCAACAAATGCAGTGCTACTTCCTTTAAGATCTACCATATGGGCATGTACTTTTGTTTCCTATAACTTGTATGTTTTTATGACATTGATTTGATCTTCACAGCCCAAATGGAAGATTCCAGATCTTTTTTTTCTGTGTGTCTCATTTCCTGCATTTCTCCTGAGATACTGTTCATCTTAGGGCTAGAAAACATGGACCCCCCCCCCACATATACACATAACTCTAGCTTTTTAACCAAAGATCTCAATTAACAGAATGTTTTCTGAGACACAACTGCATCTGTCATCAGCCAACAGGGAATTGAATGAACCAGTTGCCTTCATGAAGTTCAATAAAACATTTGTTGGCGAATGTTTTCCTGCAGATGGAATGCAGAATGGATTGTTTCATTAAAAAAAAAAAAAGATTTAGTCTCCTAGAATAACCAGAAAACAGAGTGTTTGAAGTAGCTACATAACACACTTATCATTACCACCAAAGGGGCTTTCTACCCTTTGCACAAAATATGAGCTGCTCATTTCTATGTGGAAGCAAAAGCATTGACTGATGGCAAAAGGAAAGAAGGAGTTATTGTTTAATTGGCTGCAAGCTGGAGACTTGCTTTTTCTCTTCTGTTCCCACTGTGCTGTTTCCGTCAGGCCTGAGGGGATCATTGCAGCAGACTTAATCTCCAGTGTTCTCTGCCTCTCTCCACCAGACCACGATCAGCCGTCCACCTCATGCTGGGCCCGTTGCTGGCTGGATCTCCCCCTTTCCCCTGTTCTGTAAAAGGGGGCTGTGGTCTATGTGGCCTCTTGGCTACAGGGGAAGCCTCAACTTCATTTAGATCTAGATGATGCACCCCAAAGCAAGGGCTGTAGAGTGTTGTTAACATGGAGGGGAGGTAAAGAGGGCAGGAGCTCCATACTAAGTGGCATCGTCACATTTAACTGAATCATTTTATTATGAATACATTCCGAGCCGCCACTCAGAGCCGCGGGTGTAAAATAGGCTGGCAAAAAAACAAAAATGGATCTCTGCTAATTACATTTCATACATATTTCAGAACTCTTCACAGAGGATACAGGAGGATCACGTTCATAAATGGGAATTTTACAACCAGGTTCATTTGCGTTTGGCTCAAGATCCAAACAATGGTGGTTAACACAGATAAGTTCATTTACATGAGGTGTGTGTGTGTTTGGGTTAGTAATTCCTTATACTTCTATTGTCACACCTACAACGAACATCCACCTGGACACACCACACTACCACTGAAAGCATCCATGCTACTGTTAAATCATTTCCTCCTCACCTTTGTGTTTTCTGGATTCTTCCTTGGTTTTATGTTAGGCTGAGTGGAGGAAATGAGACTCCAAACTTGAGGATGTGTTAGGACAGTGACTCAAATGAAGGCAGCATTACCTGCTTCGAGAGTGAGCTGTAAAGGACACACGTGACGGCTTTGGCGTGGCTTCTCACCCTCTTACTGGCTTCGCTTTTCATGGTCAACAGAGCTAGCTGGTTATTAAATGAGATGAAAAGTCGTCCATGGGCCTCATCAAAGTGGAAAAGGCATCTGAAGTCTTGACTCTTGGGAAAAGGACAAGCAATCCTCTGGATGGACAGCTGGTAGTGAATATCCCAGAGTCTCAAAACCTGAAAGAGAAGGAAGGTCAGTAACCCTAATTATTGTTTTAGCCAGTATTTTTCTTAGTCAACCCTTGACCCCAGCTTCTTCATCCACAGTGCCATCGTTGGCTCAGAGTACTATCATATTGCATGCTATGTTACCTGCTTAAAACTATACCCTCAACTGTAAGGGTCCCAGAGGAAGCACTGGGTTTTTGTTTGTTTGTTTGTTATTTTATTGTAAAGATCCTGTACAGAGGGGTTACCGTTACATGAGTAAGGTAATGAGTACCTTGTCAAGCATTGTTACCCCCTCCTTTGTTGTTCTCCCACTATCCCTACCCACCCCCACCTCTCCCACTTCCCCACCCCAAAGCTGTAAAGTTCATTTCCAATATACTGTCTTGTGAGTATCATTGTTGCAATAGGTCATCCTGTGTCCTTGTTTCAGCATTTTGTCATTCCCCTCCTCTTCCCCAAATTAGACAAAGGAACATACAAGATGCAGGGTATCAAAAGCACTGTTTTTATCCCAGTATCTAGAATAGGGCTTAGCAAGTGGCATGTGTTTGTGGTAACCAAAGGTGCCCATCTCTAAACCACCAGGACCTGTGTACGTTTATTATCTCACAAAGCAAAAATAATTTTAGCCGAGTGCCAATGGCTTATACCTGTAATCCTACTATTTGGGCTGAGATTTGCAGATAGCTGTTCAAAGCCAGACCCAGTAAGAAAGTACTTCTATCTCCAATTAACTACCAAAAGAGCCAGAAGTGGAGCTGTGGCTCAAGAGGTAGAGTTTCAATTTCAAACAAAAAAAAAAGCTCGGGGACAATGTCTAAGCCCTGAGTTCAAGCCCTAGGATGGCACAAAATATATATAATAATTTTAGAGATGTGATTAAACTAAGAATTTGAAAAAGAGATTTTCCTGGATTAATTCAGTGAGTTCAACGTGATAGCAAGAGCATTCTTTAAATAGACATCTTTTATAGAATGAAAAATTTGTTGTGATACATAGAGAGAGAGAATCCTGAACAAATTCACATCCTCCACCATATTTTTATTCTCCCCTTCCTTTCTTGCACCCATTTTCAATTAGCAATTGTTGAGTTTTATTATGCTCTATTTATGTGTGTGTGCATGTGTGCATGTCCATCCTCCTTTGGTCCTCTTTGGAGTTGGGTGAAGAAAAGGAAGCAGGAAAAGACACAGGAGTAATGCACTATCAGGACGCTTCCTAGCGTTGCTGGATATGAAGAAATCCAAATCCAAGTTTGGCAGAAATGGTGGGAAAGTGATTCCTCTAGAACGGAGTAGAGTTCTTCCAATGCCTTAAGTCTTGAATTCTAAGCAGTAAACATAGCATGCTTAGAATCAGAATTCTAAGTCGTGAACATAGCATGCTTAGAATCAGAATTCTAGGCAGTGAACATAGCATGCTTCAAGTTGATGTTGTTCAAAAGTACTAATTTGTGGTTCTCTCTCTCTCCTTCCCTCTCTCCCTCCCTCCCTCTCTCTCTCACTCTCTCTCTCTCACACACACACACTCTCCCTTTCGGCATTTATATGTAATTTTGATGAATTATCAGAGGTGGCATTAACTAAAATCAAGTTCAAATAAACCAAAGTTACTACTTAATGCAACCAAGTTATGCCAATGGCATGCATTTATTAGAGGACAAGCAGTGAATCTTTGCTCAACGCAAAGGTTGCTTTCTGTTCAGCAAACATGGAATGGCTGTTTTCCCTGTCCTTTCTCCCCCCTCGTGGCTCTCCTCATTCCTGTGAGAATGAATCACACCAAGTGTCCTGGGAAGCAAACAGAAAGAGCAGCTTTGTGGGTGCAAGTGGGGTGATGGTCGGGGGGCTCTCAATAGTGATGTAGGTAGAAATAACACAGGTTAATGAGAAGAAAATAACCAATATGCTTTCAACATGATTCCCTGCTTCTAATCTCTCTCTGCCCGCTACCAGCAGGCTGCCCCTGAGCTTTTAATTTGGTATCTATTTCACACAGTATTATGAGAATTCAATTAGAGCCCCTGATGATGTATAATAAATACTTTTGAAGTTGTTAAATGCTGTATCTCATTTTTTGGAGGGGTCGTCCCATCATGGGGCCTGAACTTTGGGTCTGGGTGCTGTCCCTCAGCTCTTCAGCTCAAGGCTAACGCTCTACCACTTGAGCCACAGCGCCACTTCTGGCTTTTTCTTTTTGCTTTATGTAGTGCTGAGGAATTGAACCCAGAGCCTCATGCATGCAAGGCAAGCGCTCTACCTCTGAGCCACCTTCCCAGCCCTTTATATCATTTTTTTAACTATATATATGGTCATGGGGCTTGAACTCAGGGCCTGGGTGCTGTCCCTTAGCTTTTTTAGTCAAGGCTACTGCTCTCCCACTTTGAGCGATAGCACCACTTCCAGTTTTCTTGTGGTTAATTGAAGATAAGAGTCTCATAGACTTTCCTACTCTGGGCTGGCTTTGAACCATGATCCTCAGTTCTCAGCCTCCTGCGTAGCTAGGATTACAAGCAAGAGCCATCAGCACCCAGCTTAAAATATTATATATTTATTTAGCTCATCAATGAAAAGAGTAGCTGAGATAAATCTAAGAATAGAACACCTCTACAGAAAATCTACCTCCCTCCTGAATAGATATTTACCAAATTACAGATCTCACATCATTTTATATGAATCATATGAAAGTATATGAAGTATTACAAGACTTTTCACATCTTACAGAAGTAATTGTATCTGATGTTCAACCTTATAACAAGGTTGAACAGACTTAGTCAATTGCTATCAGATAAACAGGATTACAAATTGCTCAAACATATATTTATAAAGAAAAATGGGGCTTGGGGCAAGAATATTTTATGAAAGACTCATTCATGTTCTTTATAATTGATAAAAATTTCTCATTTAAAATGTGCTAGAAGCTCTCTAAGAAATGTTTATTCATAAAAATACAGATCCTTAAGAATTAAGTCATAAATATATTTCCATGTGTTATCAATATAAATAGATTTGGGTGATATTTTGAATATTATAGTCATAAGATTATGCCCATCTGGATGATGAGAATCATGATACTAGAATGGTTATGTCATTATTGTGGAAAATAGTGTCTTAATTTATAGAGACCCATTCTGAGAGATAGAAACTACTACATAACAGAATAATAATACTTGATGGTATCATGAGTAAGTATAGATTAATAATGACTCAACAGTATTAATAGATTGTAGCTTCCTCAGAATTATTTGTTCAAATAATTTAAGTGGTCTCTAACATTTCATTTCATTTAGTCACACTAACTAAATAAAAAAATTAAAAACAGATTAAGTATAACTTCTATAGTCTACAAGAGCTGAGTTCTTCAGCAATTAAAACTAGAATTGGTGTTAAGTGGAATGTATATAATCATTGACTTTCCTTAAAATTAATTTTCTGCTTCTCCTTATGAACCTTATGCTATTAATAATCTCATTAAGCCTAACTTCCATCTTTAATTCTTTATTTTTCCCTCTGTTTAGAATCAAGCAACAGTTTGATACACTTTCACCAGTTCGTAAACCCATATTCTAGCATGTGTCTAGAAATTAGGTGATGTCGTTACTTCCAAGACATTTTAAATGTTCCCTGTGTTCTCATATTCTATACCAATGCTTCCTAAACTTGACATTAAACAAAAATACCTACAGTGCTAAAGAAATCACCTTTTATTGGGTGCTTTTCTTAGGCCAATTAAATCTGAGTCTCCGAGGATAAAATTCATCAATTGTGATTTTTCAAACATTTTCCCACAGGTCTTTCCTTTGTATCATGCTTTAAGGGCTCTACTTGATTTGAAGGTCAGTGATAATTACCTTGAACAAGAAATTTATCCCCTTAATCAGTAATATCATTTGGCTTGGCTTTAAACCAGATAGCTATACTCACTTCTCCCAGCCACTTTCTATCTTTCTCATCACACAAAAGAATTCACATTAATTCAATCTTATCAAGCAAGTCCTTTGAAAAAATATTGCCATTTACTGTCTTATTATTCTTTGAGAATCACAAGATCTCCACTTATATTTAAGTTAACTTAAAAAATTGAATTATGTGACAATTTAGAAAAATAACAGATCTACTATTTCCATTCCAAATATTCTAGAGATATGTTCTTTCTTAATATGAAAAAAAACAGACTGATAAAATTACAATGGAATATTTGGTACTTTTAAATCGGTATCATTGGCAGGGTGCTTGTGACTCATGCCTGTAAATCCTGCCCACCCAGGAAGCTGAGATCTGGGGTTGAGATTTGAAGCCAACTCAGGAAAGTCAGGGAGATTCTCATCTCCAATTAACCAACAAAAAGTTGAAAGTGGAGCTGTGGCTCAAGTAGTAGAGTACCAGCCTTGAACAAAAATGCTCAGGGATAGCACCCAGGACCTCAGTTTAAGCCCCAGAACCAATACACACACAAAAAAAACTGTTGTAGAATATATATATATATATATATATATATATGTACATATATATATACATATATACATATATATGTCTATGTATATATATATAACAAAATGTATGCATATATTATATATATTTTCTACAATTTTCTGTAACTATGTCTACTTATGTGAGATCTAAGGACCTGTGGTTTCCATCCCAACTCAGATTCAGTCAGGCTCATATAGAGAATCTCTTTGGGTCTCATTTCACCTTCACTTTTACATTAGCAGTAATAAGCTTAAATTTTTATGTTATGGTAAGACATAGCATTCTGCATAATGATGATGACATTGTTCTTCATATTCATTGTCTTGTTTCATTGTTACCTTTTCTTAATACAGGATTGTGGGCAAATACTATCTTATATATGTAAGATCTAGAAACCAGTGTTCTAAGACTTCAGACTCTCTGAATCCTGTTTTAAAGGACTAAAACAGAATTTGTCAGCTCAGGTATATGATTTTATCTGTCCATTTCACCTCTCTGCTGAAGAGGCCCCTTTTTGCTCTGAAAATCAGTCTA